GAGAAGAAAGTTGGTACTAACCTCCTGAACCTGAGGTTAGCCACACAGAAATAGTAGCTGGAACAAATACAGCTTAGTTTTAAAAATAATAATAATAATAATAAAAAATCCCCTTCAGAAATACTGTATTCTCTAGAGCTTAGCGATAGGATTGTCTTTACAATCAAAAGGTAATGTTATAATTTTCAGAGCTTCACAGAGAACAAAGAAACCTTCTTTAACCTCTGACTGAAAAGAACTCCAGTATTCAGCAATGATAAGCAAAGATCTGGAGGTATCTTGATGTGCCAAATCCTATTCTTTTGTAAATCTTGGCTTTATACAACATTTTCAACCATGTTATATTAGATTTTTCAAAGGATAATCAATAGGCATGATGTATAACTGAAAGCACTGTTCAAAGCAAATCTCTTCTGCAAGCCAGAAACAAAAGCCCGGGCTTGCTGCTGAAAATCTAGTCTGAGCAGTGGGGGAAGCAAAAGCCGCCGGGGAGCAAATTAAAAAGCTGGTTCTAACCATGGCTCTCCTCTCTATGAAAGCAAAAGTCACCCTGAGCTGCTGTAACTTATTCCAGCTGGCAAGGATCCCCAAGGAATCCTATTGCAAATTGGGAATGCTTAAGCATGGCAGCTACGTGGAGAGAATACCTACATGGCTATAGAGGACTGGATTTTGGGTTCTCAGCACTACCAGATGAGCGAATGGGAGGTGGAGATCCTTTCCAGGGTCAGATGCAACATTTAAATCATAAGGATATCACCCAAACTTTAAATCTGTTTAATTGGTATGACATTTTCAAAGACATTAATAAACTGACTAATAGGGAAACTGCAAAGAAATAAGGACCTGCCTTATACAAAGTCAAATTCGCATCTCAACTGAAGGTGAACTATGCAGCTTGAAAAGGACTAACTCTACAATATCTTGGATACTGTCTTTACTTGTATATCATACAGTGACCTTTAAGACTGATTCAAATTGCCCTCTTTAGCATGCTGTGTTCCCACTCATGGCTGCAAGGGACAACTCTTTACTTAAGAGTCTCAGAGTACCCATTTATGACTGAAATGCAGTATTATAATAACCTTAAATAACCTTAGAACTGCAGAGCTGGAAGGGACCCTATGGATAATTAAGTCCAGCCCCTGACAAGGAGGCACAGTGGAGAATTGAACTCTCAACCTCTGGTTCTACTGATGCCGTTACTAGACCATGCCCACTGAATAAGTGGAACCTGCCGAGAGGTTGACTCATCAAATCCCCATGGATTCAGTGGGCCTAGTCTAGTTGCAACATGCTGCTAGATTTCAGCCATTGTGTCTGTAGCAGCAAAATGTAATCAGCTGGTGGAATGCTGAGAGGGCAGATGGCCTGGTTCAGGCGTTTAGCTTGGAAATTCACCTGAAGTCACTTAACAGTATTTCTGTGATCGGCAGCCCTTGCTTCTCAGAGTAGTTGGATCATGGAAATGCTATAAACATGTTAGGCTGAACACAGAGGGTTACATGGACCTTTGCTCTGAACATGTGGTTTTGCCTGAATACTTGAATCAGGCTAGAATGTATACCACTTCAGACTGTATGACACAACCACAAATCCAGGCAAGTAAAATGCTACTGCAGTTGCAATATGACTGGGCAAGAACCTTTTCCCTTGCTATATTGTTCTTTTTTAACAGGTGTTTTTTTTTTTTTGTAAAAAAAAATTCCAATGTTGACGGCAATTTGAAGAGCCCAGCCTTCTCTCATCAGTCCAGAATGCTTTTGCCTCATGACGCTGCACATGTCTTTGAAACCAAAGAAATTTCTGGAAACACTGTAAAGCTGTTTTATTCAACCCGGTCATCGGTGGGAGAGAACAAGGTGGAGTTTAATCAATGTAACTGGAAACCTTCTTAATGATAGTTATCCACCCCAGTATCTTGATGTGAGGGAAACAATAAATATATTGATTTTAAAGGTATTTTTCAATGCAAATATTTTAATACTTTTAATTAGAGATGTTAGAGGCTGAATCTGCAGTCTAATACATAGAGAAAGGAGCCTCAAGCAGTGAAATATGATCCTCTCTTTTCTATGAGGAGAATCACTCTTTAATCCCATCTCTGGGGTTGTGTGTCTGCCATGTTTTCTCAATAAACCTAATCTTGTACTGTACCTGTTTTTCTCCAAGTACCTTTTGAAGACATTTTACCATCTTGACTAGATAATCCATATTTACTCCTACTGATTTCTTGCACATTTGGAAAATGTGTTATTGAGGGGGTGAGCTCTGTTACACAGACAGCAACCTGTCCTTCAGGAGAATAGAGCCAAGGCCAAAGGAAGCAGGCTAAGCACATAATACAAACAGTCTTGGAGAAGCTTTATCTAGTCCAAAATTCCATTCACAAAGAAGCCAGTGTGGCGACCATGGGAAGCCTACCAGCTGGAGATAAGTGCCGTCCATGTTTTCCAGCAAGTAATCATGATTGTCTTGTTATGTGTTCTGGGAAGACTTGTTTCGTGAAAATGGGCAAACACAGAGTACATAGTGTCCTAGGCAAAGCATAATAACTGTTTTTTTATGGCAACTGGGCCTTGACTCCTGAGATATTCTGAACAGCAGATACCAAGGGCTGAACTTGGAATATATGGCACTCTGAAACCATTTCACCCTACACTATTTGAATGTGAGATTCCCACATAAAACCCATAAGAGGTTGTGCACAAGCACCTACCTCTAGCAGGAAACACAGATAGTTCCCCTGTGCTAGAAACGTGATGCACATGACTGTCTCTGTGAGATAGGTGTGTCTCTTAATGTGCTACAAGACTTCTTTTTTATTCTGAAACAGAGTAACAGGGCAACCTCTTTGAAGAGGTTGGTCAGAATATGCTCCCAGCAAAAAGACTTATTCGGCTGTTTGATCATTACCACTGAACTAAAAAAACAGAATGAATGTCTCAACACAGAATGCAAGTTGCTTCATGTCAAAACAGTAATGCACATTTTTCAATTCATGTGTTGCTACTAAACACCACTGTGGATGCAGAACAGCCATAACTTTATTTGCAAGAGTGCAGAAAGCCCTCAGTTTTCCCTAGACATCACTTTCTCAAATGTTGCTACTCTTTCCCTGTAATTCACACACTCACAGAGCCTCCTCAATCACTTACTCATGGCCCCCAGTTATTCCCCTCCCATTCAGAAAGTGCAGCTTTCCTTACACACACAGCACACCCTCCTTTCCACACACCCCGAAATGTCCCACTCCTTAACTGGTTTTACTAACAGAAAACCAAAATTTGGTTCTTACATTTGGCTTGGCTTCAGAAAAGTTTAAATCTACTCAGCTTTCTGGAGTCCAGAGGAAATAAACAGATATATGTCAGCCAATCTTTTTATCTATCCCCGCCACCCCCAGATACTACCAAAAACTACATCTTCTAAAATGTGGAAGAAGAGGGGCATGGTTGGGGGAAAGCAGCTCTTGTCACCTTTGGCTTTGGGTATACCCAGCAGGCTTCCCTGCCTTTCCTGTTGCCCTTTTCAAAGTCTGAGACAATCTGTGTGTTCCCAGCACCCATTTTTTTCCAGCAGCAGACCTCCAGCAGTAAATGACTTAATTGCTGCACTACTCTGTGACAGAGCACCTTTGCCCTGCCCTCTTCCTGGGTGAGCACAGAAGTAGCCGCCCTCTCATGTTTCTATGCAAATACATTGCTTTTGAAAGGGGTATCTTCCAATTATTTCTGGTCAGAAATACAAACAACAGCGATGACTGAGACAAAAAAAAGTATCTTTTGGGCATTTAAATGGAAAAGTAGTATCAACGTATTGTAAACAATAAAGGAATTCGCAATAAAGGAATTGTGAATGATGGGTGTCGTTTGGCTGTTATTCTTAAATGTTTTAAACTGGTTTAAATGGACATTAATTGTGTACTTGTTTTAATGCGACCTTTTTATTTTATATGGCTTTAATAATGGAATTGTGATTTTTAGTTGAACCTTTTTGTTGTCAATAGCTGCCTTGGGTTCCACCAGGGAAAAAGACAGAATGATCCAGCCGCTGGAGGGTCCCTGAATCTTGAACAGCAAAGCTGGCCTTGCCTTCCACCCGGGATATCGCGAGACGGATTAGTCTCACTTGATGGGAGGGGAAAGCCAGGGTATTTAAAGAGGCTTTCCTCTCTGGAACACCCTCTTCTTTTCGGGCAGACACCTGCCCTCCCTATTGCTAGTGTGACTTATTCTGGTCGCTGTTACGGGGCCAGATAGGAATTTTGGCCTTCATCCTGACTGGCCTGTGGATGGGGGAGTTTTTTGCCTATCCCATGCTAGAAGAGGATTGTGGCAATTTGGCGGATTAAAACTTCGGTCACACTGGCGGGTAGTGCGGAAAAAACAGGTACTTACAGTGTGTCCCGCTGTAATTTGAAGCAACCCAACAGTACATCCGACCGCCTGGCACTGCGGATCGTGCGATTACAGTGCCTGTGGCAGGAAGATGTGCTGGGCCACTTCCAGACTAACAACCCTCGAATAAAGGGGGATCGAGGTCTGGGGGTGTTTGTTAGCGGCCGGCCAGGTTCCTGCTATTCTTAAGACTGCTGGAGCCTGGGGGCCCGGGACTCGTCCTTTCATTGATCTAGGAGTATTTAGATACGTCATTTAACTGTTTCTGCACCACAGCAGGCCCCCTCCTTCTGAATGGCAATTTTGAATGGCAATTTTGTATTTCCGCTCTACAGCAGGCCCCATCCTTCTGAATGGCAATTTTGAATATGAATGTATATTAATAAAGTGTGGCCCGTATTTAACCCTTATCACTGTCTCACATTTTATTCCGGGGTTGGGAGGGCAATATAAATAAGGAAAGTTCTTTATTTCTACTTATGAAGGTAAGTGTAAACTTAGACAAGTTCTTCTTTTAAAACCCCTAAAACTATGATTTTCTATTTCACTCCAGACCAGGAGTATGCTAGCATTTGACAAAGAGAGATGGAGGTAAATTACCTTTCCTAAGAGTTCACTGATTCTGGGCACAGGTTTTCCTTTCTGATGCCTTATGGTTGGTGGACTCTGTCCATCCCACTCTTGGAGCTCCTCTATGCTCTGTAGATACAGCAAAGCCTTCAGCCCGGTGCAGTAATCCTCAATCACAGTAAAGTCTTGATTCTGTATGGCACTGCACACCTTCAATAGATATAAAACATAGTTACTGCAGGAATTTGTACTCAATGAAATCAAAAGCAGAGTTTTCAGAAACTGGATTATTAAATGGTGATAGCTGCTCTATACTTCCGGCTCCTTGAGGAATCCTCTGCCTTGCTTTAATTGTTCCGGATTTTAATGTAATTTATTTATTTAAGGTCTGAAAAGAACAAAAGAACTCAAATACCTGGAACAATTAAAATAGGTCTTTATCTGCAGCCAAAAAAAAAATGTACAACGTAGCGGCTCTGGAGAAATCAATCAGTATTGCTGAGTAGGCTCAGAAAAACAAAAACAACACTCCAGAATCACTCTATGCTCTTTTAGAGATTTGTATTAATTTTTTTTTTGCAATCAGTCAAAAATCTATACATCGAGATCAATCATTTTAGTGAGAGTTCTTTGAATGTTCCGAATTTTTAGTTCTTATTAGTTGCTGTACAAAAACATAAGTGCATAGATAGATAAGCAAATTTTCCAGTTAAATGAATACAACATCACTCTCAAAATAATTTTAGGACTAGGGCAAGCCATACTACTACTGGTCGTTGTGGTTTTTTCGGGTTCTTTGGCCGTGTTCTGAAGGTTGTTCTTCCTGATGTTTCACCAGTCTCTGGGGCCGGCATCTTCAGAGTTGAACAGAGAATGGACTGAGTTCCTACTCCAGTCCGCTGAAGATGCCGGCCACAGAGACTGGCGAAACGTCAGGAAGAACAACCTTCAGAACATGGCCAAAGAACCCAAAAAACCCACAACAACCATCAGATCCCAGCCACGAAAGCCTCCGAGAATACATACTATTACTGTTCTTGAACAAAGTAACTTGAAGATCCAGCCTGATCCCTCATATTAGAGACTTACACTGTTTACTGTTTCCAGGTAAGTTCCCACATGTTCATTTAGAGCCTAAATGGGGAAGTGAGCAATCAGAGCTTTTAAAGCTAAGACACAGATCTATAATGTATCTGGTTCAGAGACTGATAGTAACACATTACAAGTAATGACATTACCTGTAACACTTTACTTTTTAAAGGTAATAAGAGCACAACATTGTTCCTTCTATAATACTGTGCGTGGGAGGATGTAATGTTTACTTCCAAATCATTTCTAAGAATTATTCTGACATATTTTTGTCACTTTTAATATTTATAGTGCAACATGACATTAGTTCATCAATAACATTAGCACATTAAAGTTTTTTAAAAAAACAGAAGTAAAAATGAAAGCTAATGTGTTAGCTTTTTAAAATATCATTCCAAACTTTGAACAGGATTTTATTATTTCTAGCAAAGGACTTTATTTTTCCTAAGCAAGACAAGTATCGGGTGCATTGAAAAACAGGAAACGATCAAATACTCTAATTTTCTTTACATGCACTCTCAGACACATCTGCCCATCTAAAATTAATCCATACAATATATATGATGGCAACTAATCAAATCCCAGATAGCATGATCAAAGTTTTATTCCTGGTGTCACATGCTACATTACAAGCTGTTGTTCCGTAGAAATAGAGTACATTTTATCTTTTGAAATACTGTACGCTACAACTCTGTAGAAAGAAACAATGAATAAATATAAAATACGCACAAGAACATTTCCTATGCTTCCAATTTACATTACATAAAATCTCCTCCTCTGGAGAAATAGTGTAAGCATTAATTAGGTCTGTTATGCCTTCCGTAGATTTAAGCCTGTTCACTTGCTCACTCTTCTCTCTCTCTCTCTCTCCCCCCTCCAGAACAATTATACAGAACATCATTATAATTTCCTCCACAGGTTATTTAACTGTAAAATCCAACCAGTGCTTTATTTAAATTTCTTTGTTCACTAAGGGCTTCTAATTTTTAAACATAGGAGGAATAACACACTTCTTAGCAATTCAGAAAGGGAATGGGGTATTGAAAACATAGGTTAAAAAGTATGCTGGCTTATATAATTCAAAGAAAGCAGATTCCACCACTGAAATCTTGCATTGTTTTGACAGTACGCATGAAGGAGAGATGCACAGAAGCCTTACAACTGTAATCTTATAAATAATGTGGCTATTAATGTTTATGACCTTATCTCAGTGGAATGAACTGAAATAATACAGAATACACTGCATTTACAGAATCGGGGGGGGGGGAGGCAGTCTAGCCTATTTCCTGGCTGTGCATCAAAGCACGGCTCCGTGGCGCCAGTCAGTTTGAGATGCTGCACTGGAGGAAAAGTCAAGCAGCAGGGTGCAGGAAAACACATGGTGCTGAGCAACATAAAAGACATACATTCCATGGGGGTACCGCGCGAACCTGAGACAGTTGTCAAGGAAAGCAGAGATTGATCCAACAAACAAGGAGAATTTCAAGATTTTTTTTTTCCACTCAAGGCAAAGTTGCCTAGTGGTATGTGAGCACAATGTGTGCCCACAGCAGCATGTCCGCATAATTCAACCTAGCCATGCATCTTCCTTGTGCATTATCTGCACATACTCTTTGGCCTTGAATATCCTTTTCAATGGTATTTTGGCAATTGGTTATTTGAGGACAGTTAGTCATGTAGAGCAAATGGCACACTCTCCCACCAGTGGCTCAGGCTGTCCCCTGTTGCTTGCTTTTTCAGCAAAGGTTTCTACCTTATTCCCTGCTTGCTTTGTGCATTTGTCTATGCTCGGTTGCCTACCTATATAGGTATGAATGCCCACGTTTTCCTTTGACTGCCTCTCTACTCTGGCTCCATCCACTTGTGTTCTCCCTTCTGCCCCATCAACTGCAAAGGCAAATAGTCATCACTCCATTTAGAAGCCTGCAGACTATAGGAATACCATCTTCAGAACATGGCATCTGATACCATTAATGCAAAACACAAGGAGCATGATATGGAGTTAAGAACATTTTACTGGGTAAGGAGAAGTGGCAATTAGAGATGGACACATATTAAAAAACAAATCACCAAATTCATTAAAAAACCACTAATTTGTCAATTTGTATTCGTACAAATCAATGTCCCAACAAATATGAATCAATGAATTTTCAGCAATTTTTAATTTGTCAATTTGTTTGACTATAAAACAGTCCACCAGGCATGTTGAGACACTAAAATTGCAGGGCAGCTTCCTCTGACACTCCTCTACAATCCCTCTCTGGTGAAGATTGGGGTTCAGATGTCTGAGATATACACCCTCAAAAAGAGCCCCCCAGGAAAGTCCCCCCCCAGGCACCTAGAGAGACCAAAATTATAGAGAAGCTTCTACTGACTATCATCTACAATCCTTCCAGATTTGGTGAAGATTGGGTTTCCCCAAGCCAGCTGCTAAAGGGCACTTTCCTAGGGGACCCATTTTTGTGGGTGTATTACTTGGATGTCTGAAATACAATCTTCACCAAACTTGGAGGGATTGTAGAGGGCAGTCAGCAGAAGCTTCTCTGTAATTGTGATCTCTCTGTGTGCTTGAGGGGGCATTCTATAGGGTTTAAAATAAAAAAAATGAATTGACAAATCAATTCATTTATTTGTCAGAAAAAAAAATTAATTTGTGATTAGTCAGCCTTGATGAGCCGCAAATCAAAATGAATAACTATATTTCTGATTTGTGCCCATCTCTAGTGGCAATGCTTAATCAGTGTTGGCTCTAGAGAAGGCTGGAATATTTAAGTTACTTTTCACATTGTTATCAACTACTTTTTACTTCAGCTGTTATAAAAGAACTACTGCATTATTTGAATTTTGAATTGTAGAAATGTTCTTTTGGAACACATTTTTGTGTGCAAAAATCTTATAGTTTAAGAGAACAAAACCATAATTTCTATTATTTGAGACCATGGGCCCTCTTTTTGATGTGCAATGTTACCTGGGGCCCAAGTTAAAGACATATGGAGCTGATTCAAGAAATCTAGGCTAGATTTACTTCTCTGTTCTCCAGTGAGTAGATCTAGTAACTAGAATGTATTTTCACCTGTGGTAACACCCTCATGCCTTCTTCCACTTTCAGTTTCCTTCACTCCATTTAATAAGAGCCCCATCAATATATTTACCTATTAAAAAGTCCTTACACCAGAATAACACTGCACTATCCTGCACAGCTGCCATTCTAACTAGAAGCATCAAAAGGTGTATAACAACAGTAGACCACCTTACAGGGCTGGCATAAATCACAGTCAGTGCCTTGTCTCCCAGAATATGTGTACAATGACAATGGATTTTATACCAAACCTAATATCTTATTTATGCAGATTTATTGTTGGAGAAAATAACAGTGTTGCATTGATTGAATCAATTTGATATACCACACCCGCTAGTGCTACAGTACTACTCTGGGCAATTCACATAAATTAAACAGTCAGATAGTTAATATGATAAAACCATAGACATCTAACCATGTAAAAGGTACCAGGGCACTAATAAAACTGTACAAAAACCAGAAAAAAATAACAAAGATACAGACAGCAAATAAATGAACAGAGATGTGTGTGCAACCTAACACTGATTTTCAGTGGGAAGAGGGGCTTCACAGCCTAACATAACTATGCCTTGCTACTAGCCAATCTGCAATGTCCCTTTTCCAAGGCTTGAGGCACCCCTTCTTCATGTTTGTTTGCTTTCATACTCTGTTCGTCCTCCCTCTTTTTCTTTGACTTTCAACCTGAGCAGATATGTAAACCTTTCTTTATGACTTCTGTCCTTGTGACCAGCTTGGTAGATTTCAATCTCCTGAAACGCTGAGACTGCAATTTCTTTTGTTACTCTTTTTTATTCTTATGAATATAACTGAGGTTCCACAACTGTAATTAAATATATATTTTTTCTTATTCTACTTAAGCTCCTTGTAGAGTAACTTTTATATACAAAGGACAAGTCGCTGTGAGGAAAAAAAGGGACTGGATGGAAACTGGGCTTTTAGCTATTCACATTTCTCTTTTGCTGCAGCTGGCTTTTGTACTGCTAACTAAAGGGAGTTAACCAAAAATTACTCTACTATTTATATCCAGTGTGCAATATTTCCT